TCTATGACATCTTGTTGTCTCTTTACGTATGAAAAGTTATTTTTACTACCAAGAGTTAATATAATGCCTCGTACGAACACATTTGCTATAAATTATCATAACATGACACGCAATTTTTGTTATTGATTGCTATAGAAATTAAATTCTTCTCCTTTAGAATCGACAATAATCGTAGTCCTAACGTATCTTGCGTATAAACAAGTCGAGTCAAAATGATGTAACTGTATTGCGTTCCTATACTTGGAAAATGTCTTTCAAAATAGAGTGGTAATAGTTTAACTTGCTTGCAAACGTGCACTATATTTCTAGACGTGCAAAACGAATATGAAGGTGAGAAATTTAATTACAATTTTCAAATAAATACGAAAATATATAAAAGATGCCCATCTAATTCGTGCGACTGTAATTTTAATGAATAGAATTTTGTGAGCAACTCGAAATTGATCTTATTATTAAAATGTTAAACAAAAAAGCCATTGCATATGATCATATATTATCATTTGTAAAAAAAAGTCTCATTTTCTAAGTTTTAATATTCCATATCGTTATTATAATATTACATATCAAATGAAAATTTATTTTAAAAAATTTATAAATTTCTTTTTTTCTATTAAAATTATAAAATATTTTAGTTATTTTTGTCTACTTGTCTTTATAAAGCTTAATTCACAATTTTTTTTTAATTGTTCGTAATTATACCGTATAGATGTGCCGACAGTTTTATTAAGAAAAGACCAATTTTTCAAATTTATCAAAAAGAATCTTTAAAATTAAATAAATTTATCGGGAAATTATTAAAATTAAAATCACAAATCATAGAATTCTTATTAAAATAAGATTTTAAAATATTTACATATAGGAATAAAATGACATAAACTTTTAAAATAAGTACTTTATGCATAATATAAATCAAATATAAAAAATTAAAATATAACAGGATGAATCACACAATCATTTCCTTTTTTATATGTACTTCTATATATTTTAATAAAATAAAAAAATGATAAAGCAAAAACATATTATGTCAAATATATTATATTTCAGATTAAAGTTTCGCTTATCATAATAGAGTCTAATGTTCTGATTTCTTTTATTTTTAAAGAAATAAAATTTATAAAAAACTTGCAAATCTACATATATATATGCTTATACATAATAAAAAAAACATAATAAATGCAACATTAAATAACTATAAATAAAATTAATTATATGTGTTATATACATTTATTTTGTATAATTAAATATATCATATATATGAATGTATAGATACATTCTCGAGGAAGTCTTCCCTTTTTTCTTAAAGCAGGGTCATATATACATAACAATGTTACGCACGATCTTCATATATAACCATTTGTGTGTGTGTGTGCGTGCGTGCGTGCGTGCGTGCGTGCGTGCGTGCGTGCGTGCGCGCGCGCGTGTGCGTATGTCTAAAAATTTTTATAAAAATTTAGATAAGGACAGTTTTGTTATCTTACATAATTAAGAATCCCATTTATCTCATTAATGTGTGAAATATTAAAATTGCCTTTATCTAAATTCTTATAAAAATTGTTGCGATACATAGTGAGGATGAAGATCATCACGTAACGCTATTATTGATAAATCACATAATCGCATTAGCCAATATAATTTTTAGCTACCCATGCTTCTTGTCTTAATGAACTATAATCGATTTAACAACTTCCTGTTTGCATTTCTTTGCGAAATGCGTGAAGTACATTAGATGGAGAATAACAAGTTTATTCAAGATATCATATTTTCTTGTGCCTACAAAAGAGAGACTTTTTAATTTTAAATAAATTTTTCTTCGAACACAAATATACATTGAATTAGATACTACTTTTTTTCTGTGCCGTAACTGATATAATGAATAAAAATCGTCGACTACGTGCGCGATTCTCTCCTAGGCATTTCCAAATATTGTTTATCGTTGACCAAGAAACAATATAAAACGATATAAAATTTGCTGTGTTAAATTTTCGATACGATTATAAATACGAGAGATCAAATTCTCTGTGTGTGTAAAGTCATGATAAATATAGAAATCGCGTGTTTATATCGATGAAATTCGGAATCTTTCGTACCGGTTTCGATTGAATGATTTATAACGATTACCTTGGGATCTTTCTCGTAATAGTGCTGCTGCGTGCGAATCCATCGAGAAACGAGATTGTCCTTGACACTATGGGCTAAGGCGAAGAAATAATCGCGGGTCGTCGCGACGTTACGATCTTTCACGAGGGTGTAGTGAAGGTGCCTGTTAAAGGTCTTCTTGAAATTCCCGACGTTCTCGACGTCGACAATGCCGCGTACCGAAATCTGCTTCCTCTTCTCGTGATCGCTGTTCGGTATTGACATGATGACTTATTTAATGAGCAGCAGCTTGATTATTCGCGGGACAACAACGACGATAACACGCACTCGACTGACGCGTCGTGGTCCTCTGAAGAGGAATGATTGCGCTGCTAGTTCAGAAGGCAGTGGTCACCTTGCCTCAAGGTGACGCATGCGTACAATGAATAGGCATGTACATGTTGCACGTGGTGGTAAAAGTTGAAAATGATTTTAACATGTTATCACTTGAACGTTATAACAAATAAAATCAGCTTTTTAAAAATCTTAATCCAGCTATTTTATCCAATCGGAAGCGAGCGAAACTATATGATAATATTGATAATGTCGCGCGTTGCTTTTAGAATGCTCCGAAATGTCAAATGGACCGCACTGTATATTCCGGAGTATTTGTAGCGATCAAAGAAATAGTTAACTGACACATATACTTATCAAAGATTCCAATAAATTCCGAATAGTACTGATATTGTTATTTCCTTATCATGTACTTGATCTCAATTAATGAAATGCGTCTATAATATTTTTTTAATACTAAGTACCATTTATAATACTATTTCGATGACGCATAAAAAACATTGAATGATCAAGATTCAAAGATATATGGAATTTAATCTCGTCTTTAATGTTCCTTCTTCTTACATTGCATCTTTTTTGCATTTTACGCTTTAACAGCTGTTGCATAAGTCCTCTGATTCTTGTCACAACTATGTTAACGTTATTAACTCTCAATCATAGATATATTATATATTTTTTAAATCATCTATAAGTTTTATAATTTAAGTTGAAAATTTTCGCTATATAACATAATTAATATTTAACTCACCAAAAAACTTTAGACAAGAAATAATTTTAAACACGACGACTTCAACTAATCTTTTTCGCAAATCAGTTTCAAACAAACAACTACAAAAATACTCTCCTTTTCTTTGTACATTTGTATAAAATTTATCACGTAATGAGTATTAAATAATATTAGAGCATATATGAAATATTTTAAAAATAAATCCAAAAATCACTGGGAAAAAATATCTCAAGGAAATGAATTATTTATGAGATAAGTATGAAAAAAGAGCATTTTTTTTTTTATCTTATTTATAATATCATTTATTTATAAATTAATCGTGCAGATGCAGATGCAATAATGAAAACGACAAGAAGCAATACGCGTATTACAATTCACATTCTTAACATTTTGCCATCGGTCCCGATAAAAACACATGTTTTCTCGATAACTATAGATAGATATTATGATATAATATAAAGTTGCATCTTCATCGTTCACCGTACAATGTATTCCGTATCTCGTTATTCGTTTAGGATCATTATATTTGATGATGACAGTCCTTTTCTTTCATATATATTATCTATATATATATAAATATATATATATATATATATATACACGCGTGTTTGTACACATACGCACGGATACGCACGCGAGTAAAAGAGTACAATACGTTATACATATGCACGCACGTGTGTACATAACGGTGTAATTACAATTAATGATGCAATAGCAATAATATTATGCAAACGTCAACGTCATTGAGAGACAGATACAATATATACGTTTCTGCATAATTTAACTCGTCATTTAACCCTGTTCGATTCTCTCAAACGCAACAACAACTTAAAACATCGAGAAGATGGGGAGATCGCTGCAAATCGGACAATTATTTAAGATCTATCGTCGAGAGATAAACGATTTCGTTTATACGTCCAACACATCCCGTTCGATCCATCATCTGCTCCTCCTCTGTCCGTTAAAGTGTTTCTTTAAAGTATCACGATCCTTCGGATCCACCCCAGAATTTCTCACTATATATTTTATCGTGTCACGCATTCAAATGATTACTTTCGTGACATCCGGTTCGCGAACAATGATCCAAGCTAATCGAATACGATGCTCCGAAGACGGGACTATGATAAATCACGTGGAGCTTTGCTACTCAGTCTCTCTTACGCATTCATAAACGCATTCGTTCTCTCGCTCGTATTTTTTTTCACTCTTCTCATTTTTGCGAAGAGAAACAAAGGACATCATTACATAGTTAAAAACACGAAGTTTATGATATAATCGTTAAAACATATTTGACGAAGTATACGACGAAAAAGAAGGGAAGGTTGAGGAGGAGGGCTGATCCAAAACACAGCCCTACGTACATTGCACTGTTACAACTAGCTAAAAATATGCCATTATCTTTTATCGCAAGAATGAACGATTAATTAATTACTAAGTGTTACTTATTTCTTTCTCTCCCTCTCTCTCATACATGTACACACACACGTACATACGCACGCACACGCACACACACACACACACGTACACATACATTCACTCTTTCTTTCGCGGTGTTTATTTCCTCGATAAGGATTGCTCTCGTGATCAGAATGTCAGTGCGCGCGCGCGACCACTTGGCTTTGCCGATCGTGTTTGTGCCTTGGAAAAGTACAATTATATTTATTTTCTCCGAAATTATACGACGGCGAAGCTCGCGACGATAATTGTCGCACGTGTTAATTAATTATCCCCTCACCAGCGAGACTACTGGGCCCGTTATATGATGTGTGAGACTTCTTCCAGTCGCAAATTGTCCTGCTCGCACGCGCTCTCAAACTTCTTCTCTCTCACTCTTTTTTTTACGTTTCTTTCGTTCGTTTCTAATTTTTATCCTTTCTATCCCGGTTGTCCCGGCTGTCCGCTGGACTATCATCACACGACTCTTCCTTATTCTTCCTTCGTCGGCTCGGCCTTCTTACCGAGAGGGATAGCCGCCTTCACTCTGAAACAACCGAGTAATCGATTTTTGTCTGAAGTCATGGCCACGAAAAATAATGCATTTCTCGCAATTCAACGATTTTATTGGATAATAATAATTTTTAACATTCATGTAATAAATATTTCACAATAACGTAAGAATCAATTTCAGCAGTTCATACATCTTTTGAACTTCTATATATTAAATAAAAAATAATAAAAATCTTATTGCATCACTTTTTCGCTTCTCAGAAAATGAAAGAAACTTTCAACTCACTTAGCGGTGATTTCGTTGATCTTCGCCTGGACTAAAGCCAGATTCTGATCGATCTGCTCCTGATTCGTTTCGTAAACCTTAGGCAGCGTGAAAAGAGCGACCACGCCTGAAACGAATAAACAAATCCGTTGAATTGACCATTCCACGTTCGAGAGATGTTGTAAAAAGATGGAAGACGAAAGTATACCGATTATGATGAGAGTCATGCCATTGAACCAAGAACCAACGTAGGTGAGACACCATAGTAAAACGCCAAATTTGAGAGAATCTACAAAGTCTTCGACGAGGAACAGTCTGCGCAATTCGCTAACGGCAGCATTAGCATGTGCGACTGCAACATCCGCGACTTCATGCACTTTCTCAGCAGGCACTGCCAAGTCTAGATCAAGGATATCCCTGCGACCCAAATGATAGGTTTTGATTAGAAGCAAAATTTGAAGTTGCCACGAAACAAAATTAAATGTTCCAGTTCTCGAATTTTGAACTTCATTTAAATTAACATTATTATTTTATCTACACTTACTTTATTAATTATTACTAAACGCGTTATATTAAATGCGTTACTAAATCTGTAATTCATTTTAATAATGTCCAATCAAATTTTTCTAAATCCGTAATATTGTTATCCGTCAACATTTTATTACTTTAACAAAGATCTTTAAAAAGTTATTTGTATAATATTAAAGATATATCGAAATGTATTATACAAATTCTCTTTGAACAAAAAAATCGTATACTTTGGTTTGAGATAATACTATAAGCTAGCAGAGGAACATCAAATGCAATCCTGAAGTAATTTGGTGATAAGAGCAGTAATAATCCGAGTAATCAGATTTAATTCCCGATGTGATCACTCACGATGTGTAGAACTTTTTCTCTCTCGAATCTGCAATGGAATGATTAAATAGTGTTTCACAAAATTAACTGTAGACTTACTTGAATGGATGACCATCCGAAGTCTTCTGGACTGCCTGAAGAACGGTTTTGTAAATACGGAAAAGAACGGTTCCGCTAAGGACGAGAAGCGACAGATAAGCGAGCACACTAATCAGACTGAAATAGGCCAATGATAGGAGCACGCCTAGTATCGTGCCGAATACAATCCCTGATTTTTTGGGATCGCGCCAATATATCAGAGCCGCCACTGCAAACAGAAACAAATTCTTTTAAGAAACTTTAGTTAAGAAAAGAAAAAAGAGAAAATCTTCAATTCTTACTTCGCTAATATAGGTTCTCTATAACGATGTCTAGCTGCTAATTTTAAATTTTAACATTGCTGACAAATTAATGATTTGCATTAATGTGGCAAACATGAGGCTGAATTAACTTTACAATTCAAATTATCAATAAGATTATCTATCTCTTTCACATGATTCACACACAATTAGATGATTTTTCTGTTCAATTTAATAGTAATTAGCTTTATTTATGTAACACATTTACACAACTAATTATGTTATTATAATTCCTTCAAGCAATTTTAAAGAAACTTATAGAAATATAATGCAAAATTCAATGCTGAGATCTCGAATACAGATCCGCATATTCTTTAAAAAATATTAATAATTTGACAATTTTTATTTTTAAAAAATCATATATACATATAAGATATCTCTTTCACAGATAATTTTTTATTAATCATTAATCCTTTCAAACCTTGCGCACTCTGTCTTTGAATGTATATCTGTTAATACGTATATTGAACAATATTTTCGTAAAAAGATATATGATGTAATAACAAATTATAATGCTGAGTACAGCTATGTGATATCACATATACTTTATTGTTCGTTTTTGTAAAAGGCTGATTTAGCTTTTAAGTAATGATTATTAATTAATAAGTAATTTCTTATTCATGTGTGTGATCAATTTTCATTGAAGGCATTCAACATATTTATGAGTCTCTTATGTTAATGAACAATAAATAATATCATATTTGATTTTATAATGCTATCAAATAATATGTATTTTTTTTCTCGTAAAATTTCCGCAATATAAAATTCTAATTTAAAAAACGTTATCAAAAAGATACATTGTGCAAAAATATAATCGATATGCAAATGTTTTAAAAAGTGTGCAATATGTTTGCTTTGCGGTTTAACAGAAGCATCAAATACATCCGTTATGAACAAGATAACTTTTGATAAGAAACATTCATATTCTGAATAGTGAAAAGTTTAATTTAATTATTATAAATGCTATTAGCAAAAATTGTTATACATCAACATATATAAAATAATCATATAGTTTCATTTAAGAAAGATAACTTTTAAAAAATATTTTTTTACAGCGGATATTTTGAATATTAATTAATTCGACAGATTAAGTAAAGAATCTATTAAATATAGAATTATTTAAAACATATTAATAAAATGTTTACTTGTTCATAACAATACATTATATATATAAATATTTAGATAATTAATTGTTACAATAATAAATAAAAAATTGAATATATTTATCACACAAAAAGACAGTAAAAATATTACATAAAAAAGACAGTAAACTTTATATAGAATGTGGTGGAGCAGGAATGTTTCTTATTATAAAACTTACTACAATACATTTTTTAAAAGACCTATTGTTTCGCGATATTATCTGCTGAATAATTAACACTAATTCTTTTAAATTGAATTCTAAATAATAATTGCTGAGATGCTGAATTTCTCGTGGAACTATAATGTTAAATCTAGCTACATAGAATGAAATTTTTATTAAACGATCGTGGCACATTGTAAAGGAGGACCACGTGTTACATTCCCAACCATATGGTCTCGGACCGACGCGATCGCCAACATACCAAACCAGTTCTGGTCGAGCTGTGAGGAAGCGTAGGGACGCGGAACTTACCGGGACCACGCTCTGGAAGAACTTCCTCCAGATGCCTCCTCTGAACGTTCCTTCGTACCATTTTGATAATTTGCAACGAAAGCCCTTGCTCGTTAAAAAGAGCCCTCCCGAGAATATTCGCACGGCCAGTAGTCACATGCACAACTGTTCCAGCAACGATTCATGATTTGGCTATGTGCGAGAGAAGAGGTTCATTGATAGCCTCAGAGAAGAAGGGGAAAAAAGGCAGAAGGGGAGAAAAATAGAAAGAAGGGGAAAGGTGGAGCAGTGGCGTAACTAGAGATTCTTTTGCACGAAGTTTATCCGAAATTGTAGAGATAGAACGTATCTGTACGCAATCAAACGAAATATTTTACTTAGATTGGAAATATTTGATATGTGACACTAGTCCTTGTGTTATCAAGAATAACACACAATTAAATATTACAATTTATGATCTGAGATGTAACATGAAATATGGTCCCGAAAAGAACAGATGCAATAGAATTAGGTGTTATTAGGTGAATAATATGTTTTGTCTTATTATTATTTATTTATCGATAATTTACTATCAAATTTTATTTTATAATGAATCATGCAAGTTTTAATCTTTTTCCCGTATTACATTTCCTATGTATGTATATCCTATATTGTATTAATAACAATATTTATATATGTATTAAATATTTTTTTCATATTTATGATTTAATTTTTAAATTCTACAATTTTTATATTTATTTTTTTAATTTCTAAAAATTGCAGTAATTTTGAAACTGCTCTATGCGAAAAGAAAAGCTAGATTTTTTACGTGAAAAAAAAAAGCGAGGAAGCCACCAGGGACAATTGATTGCACCATAATCAGATCAGAACGCGGAAATAACGGAATGATACTGTCGCACTGCAGACTTTCATAGAGCGGGCCCCACTCTTACAAAACCGTCTTCGCAATTTTCGAGATCCGCCACACTTACCTTGATCACTCCAAGCCAAGCATTATATCTCGACATAATACTGTTCGGTTCATATTTTGATATCAAATCGATTCATACGCGATTATTCGCGAAACCGCGACATAATTACTTCCTCGTATGCGTGCAGCATTGAAAGTCTACCTTATCAAGATTTTATATCAGTTGGAATCTCTATAATTTCTATAACCTCAATTAGAGGACAGCAATAGCTTAACGATTTTTATAGCTAGACCATAGTTATGTATAACTACGGACGACCGTGATAAGAAATAAAGCGCACTCGCTCTGTATTCTCGTGACCGTCGTACTCGCTTATGGTGCAAAATTATGCATTACCAGCCGACGCGACGTCATATATGGCACCGCTTTATCGATTTGTACGTGCGAGTGGTTTCCCCCTCGAATTTATCTGTACTGTGCGTCATCCAACGGAAAGAAAAAGACGGGGCTAAGCTGCCATTTTTTAACGGCTACGGCTGTTCTCATCAATTAAATCAAATCCATAATCGATTACTTAAAGAACTTCTACTCTCAAACTATTAATTTAGATAACAAGTATAAATATAGACGTTGAATCATCATTGTGAAATATAAAGCGATTTGAAATGAACTCAACGAGGTATTGAATATATGATTTTACGGCAGTCATCGAAAATTGTAATAACAAGAACAAAAAATATTAGCTCTAAAATTATTTTCTATAAAACAAACATTATTTTTGTGTAACATTTCCATTCTCTTTAATTATATATTAATAATATATTATTCTTTTGTATAACAAACTAATTTTGAATTGTTTTTTAAAAATCTGATTTAGTTTTCTTTAATTTATTCAAAATTTTTAAACAATAAAAAAAAATTCTAGTGTGTGCATACGTGATTTTTCGAAAAAATTTGCTATTTTATTCTGTTATTAATATAATTTCATCTAAAAATAAATTTTATCTAAAAATATATATAATTAAGTTATGTGTGTCTGAGTAATATTTTGGTGACGTAATACTTATTCGTTGGAGTCTATCCAATTTACTTACATGCATATATTAACGCGTACTTAAGGCATTCAAATGATGAATAATGCAAAGGAAAAAAATGCAAAAAGGACAGATATAATATAGTTGTACGTAATGTCTATTATAGCCTCTGGACTTAGTTAGTCATTAGTTTATGCGTGAATAATAAAGTAAAAACCACTGTCGCTCGGTACCGCGCTGCAAAAATATACTCGTAAAATATCGAATAGAAATACAACACATAAAAAAGCCTGTCCACTTGAGATAAATGTTTGCAAATCTTGTCGCAAGTTGCATATCTGCGAGATTTGTTACCTTTGAATTTTCTCTTTTCTTTTTAACGTACTTTCACAATTCTCTTTTCCTGAACGATTATGCGAGGAAAGTTGAAGAGAATAAGCTCGTCGCATTCTCTTTTAGAACATCACGATGCTACAAGTGAAATATCAACGAAATATTTTACCGGCGATTTCTGAGCTCTATCTATAATTGGATACTTCTCAGGGTCGTAACACTGATCTAGCCTATTAATCCTAAACTTACAATGCCAGATAATTGTTTCTTTATGCCAATTGCTGATGAGCAGATTCTTGTCAAAGTATCTCATCGAAGCACCGATAGAATTAGACCAAAAATATACGTAACGTAACAAATTGTCTCTAAAAAGCACAGGTATTCCCATATTATTTATCCGACACTTTACGGAACAGAATATACTTTCGATCGATTCCACGACAATAAAATAAAAAATAAGGAGAATGTGACGCACAATTTGCACTCATCTGTTTTAACCGCGTTCTTTTTTTTCAATTAATCTCGTTTCTTGCAATTTATTATATTTAAATTTTGTCTCGATGATATTGTTATTCTTTCTTGCTTATACATTTCACCTTCATATTTATTACTATATCGAGCCCGGGTTCTCTTCTTATGCTTCCGCACGTAGCCTCGATACCAGCGCGACACACATGTGCTAAATTATCATCGCTCTCGCGAATCATCGTTACTCACATTCCTCCTTCGTAATAGCCATTTTCCCTACGAACATCCGGCTGCACTCTATCCGGCTTTTATTCAGACGAAAAGACGCGACTGTCGTATCCGATCGATCCGATTAGACAAGAGTGCGATCACTCCAGGAAACCGATAAGGAAAGAACCGAGAACCGACGACTTTCGGTTTCGACGACTTCGCATCAAGGGAACTGCTGTCGGCTCGAAAACCCTGAGACGAGGATCTTCGGAAAACTGGCACTGGACCAACGCGAGAGGCTGGCTGGACGTTATATTTAGTAACGTCCGAGAATGGCGGACAACGGACGGGCAGAAGTGCCGCCGATGCGAAATTGTCGTGTTTTGTGCCGGACCAATTATTATTATTGCACCCTGAATCTCGCGCGTCCTTTCGGAGAACGCTCGACTCTTTATTTATGAGTGACCTTTTATCGCGATAAACACTACACTCGGCTAAGGGAGAATTGTTTATGCCACGATCGTAGAAAAACAAAAATTAGCTGAGCTAATTTGGAATATTTTTCTTTCCACTTGATATGTTCGCTCGATCACTGAAATCCGTTGTAATATTTTTAATAATTTTTTTTTGCAAGAACTTCATAAAATCGAGTTATCTTGATTTAAGTGGAATGTTGGAAATGTGCCCATTATACGTGAATTCAAAAAAAGAAGATTAAGTAGATGTTACTTTAATAATATTGCTTGTGCCACGAATTGAGAAATATGATAAGGCTATGAAAATTTTTTATATTTGATAAATTTATTTGATGAATTATATATAACATATATGACTGCAAAACATTTCTCATTAATACAATCGGTGATATATATTATTATAGTACAAACAAGTATAAAAGAAACAATATTCTCTTCCTCTACTTTCTTACCTTTCGGATTCAGTCTTTCAGGATTAAACCATGCATCTGAAAATAATAAAGTACATATTAGTATTAAATTTTTATAATACACAGAATGTAAATTCTTATAAATTTAACTAACAACTGAAACACTTTGAGGTGCAAAACCTATTAAATAACAGAATTACAATTTTGGAGTAAAACCTTTATTCTATTTCAAACTACAAAATAAACATTTACAAATTCTTTACAAATTTTTAAATATATTTTAATTTATTTGTTAATTAACATATTCTTTTACTCTTTACTCTGATAATAACAAGTAAAAGAGTGATAAAAAAAGATTCATAATTTGCAAAATAGAAAAAAATATTTCGCTAATTTTGAGTCGAATAAAAAATGCTTAGAAACAATTATCTGGTAATTTTTTTTATTTTGACGTTTATAAAAAATGTTCTAAATCCTAGAATTATCGAATCGCTTGGTAAACTGTGTCGATTCACTAATATTATAATCTTGTACATCATTTTTTCATTTCCTAAAACCGAAAATCGCTTCTAAGAGTTGATATTTCAATCTATCTAATATTCATTAGCATTTTTTATTCGATTTGATGAATAATATATTGTCTGTGAATCATTTTCTTATCTAACACTCTTTATAATCTTGTTTTAGAACGGTAATCTTAAAATAATTAATTCAAGTCACGATTTTAAATAAAGCAGGAATAAAAAAATGTGTACGACGAGAATGATTTACTGCACGCTTTTAGAAAAGACAGTATTAATGTTCTAAATTCTGATGATAAATTAAGCATACTATACGGATGTTTAGTATGGATGCAAAGAAAATCATAACTTTCTCCGCAAAAACGTCCAAGAATCGTGTAAATTATTGTTCAGTGAAATAATTTTCCAATTTCACTGCGAAAGAGAAATCGTTTATAGCGTGACATGTGTTTAAGAAATAAAGGATTGAACGAAATCGAGAAATCGAGAATCGTATAAGATATCATAGCTATCTCACACGATGTTTCTTTTTGAGTTTATTTTTCAGATTGAGCTTCTATTAATAACCATGTAATAAATCGATAATTAGTTGCGTCGTTCTAAAGGCTATCGGAATTGCAGCGACTCGAAAAGAATAAATACTGTTCATTTATCAAATATTGCACTCCTGAAACATTTTAAAATTGAATTTCATATAGTCATTAAATTATATACGTATAAAATATCTCTTAATATTCTGTTCAATTATTTATTTTCCATCGCATCGTTATTTATCGCAAATTTGTGACATTATATTTAAAAGAAAAAGTCTATAGAGATACATTAATATTAAACATACGAACTCCTCATCTAACGAGCCGTGTAAAACTATTCTTCTCATTTGACGCCATAAAGGAACAAATAAACAAGACAAGTACACGAGATAGAAAGCAGTTAAAGAGAGAAGTCAATATCCTTTCATTTAACACGTAGCGGCGCGCTCGGTGTCTAAAGCACACACAAATGTATGTCTCTTTATCATTCATATATGTATCTTTTTCCTTGCTCAAATAATTTCATGCAATTCACAGAATGTGCAATTTTAAATATGCGCTTTTTAAACACACCCAATTTTTGCTCGTTAATAACTGTAACTTAAAAATATTTTACAAGAAATCAATACTTGAGAAATCTGCTCCTACATTTCATATATTAAAAGTAATAATCACGAAATATATCTTATCGCAGATTACGTGGAAGGAAATATACTTAATATCGGTAAAAGAATTTGTCACCCTAGTCGGTGCAAGTTTATGGTCCAGATAGACTTCCCTTAATCAACAGATTAGAGAAAAGGAGGGGATACCCTATTATCTATATTATTCAAAGCATTAGTGCGATAAGTGAGCAGAAAGGTATAACATGAAATATATCTATCCTGTCAAAAATGTCAGCACAGATTGCATCAACGTTGGACGTTTCGATATTATACAATACATATACCGCGTGAGAAATAATTACGCGCCGGTGACTTACAGATACGCGCACGAAGAGTCAACTAAGGCAATCGATCGTATATTGTATATACTGCGCAATATGACTCCTGTCGCCTTGAAATTTGATATATTCAGGCTCTATGCTTTTGACTTTGGTCGAACAAATCGCCTCTTCGCAGTCGATGAATCGACCGTGCTGCAAGTTATATCGCGATACAAATTTAAAAACTTATTATTCATGGCAATAAGCGTTTGTAAAAGTTACCTTCTGCTTCTACTGGTTCTAGGATATATCGCGATGCCACATTGATGCATTTAACAATAAATTGTATTGTGCGTTGTATTGAATACTTTAGCAAAGAGCGTGACATACTTTCTCTATTCCATCCATTTCATTTTTCAAATTTTTTAAAATCAAGATATACACAATTTAATTAAATCAAATTAATAGACTTTATTTTTATAGAAATATTACAGGAAATCAATACAAATAACGGTGAATATAATGAGAAAAAGGCGAGATTTTTTATACAAAATACAATATTAATATATTTTTTTCTTAAAGGAAAAAAGAATATCAATCAATGTGTTTTCTTTGTAGCTGTCTATTAACATTTTCCTTGTAAGAGATGATATAAATATTACAAAAAGATAACATTAAAAAGTAACAGATAAAATTATCGTTATTATGTCATTCAAAAATAACTCATTTTACCTCGATAATAAAAATAACGATAATTCAGTTATGCAAGAAATGTACTCTTAGCAACCAATTGCGAGTGTCATACTTTGGAGATGATATTTCTACAGGATAAAGTTCGAGAGTCAGTTGTACCGTCAGTCACGGTTGGATCGCGTGGCGTTATGTAATCCAAGGTCGCGATAATTGTTCCAGGTTGCAACAAAAATTATGATACATAGTGCAACGTGCTGCGAAAGCACAATTTCACCGATTCACGAAATAAACGTGTATTATAAAAGTCAATTAAGGTTCTTTATCATTATTAACATTATTAGTCGTTTATAAAATGACAAAAATTTTATTAAAAAGCTATTAAATATTACTAAATTATTAAAAGCTTATTAAAATATACAATTCTTTGCAGTTAATCTTGTAAAACAAAATTTCGAAAAGTTTCTAAACAAAATGCTTATAAGGTCCATTTAAAAAACGTCAATAATACATTCTGTCAATGAACAGATGTCATGTCATATTTAAGTAAGCCTTTTAAACGCTCTAAACTGTGTAATATTTATCTCGTTGTTAATTGCATCAAACGTGCATCGATGTATGGAAGAAAAGAAACTAATAGAAAAAATTAATTATTCCTTTCTTGTCACAGTGAATCTCAGAGTTCTTTTTCAGCAAAAATAACGACGATCATCGTGTATCTAAGTATTGACATATTTTTTACAAGTACTCCATCTACGATGATGAGAACTATACGAGCGAGCTTCGTAGACAAGGTTTAATATAAACGCGGATGAGACAGATGTTTGACGTAAATGTTACTTGCAGGTAGTCGACTGATCGATAACCCAGTTTCGATCGGCGATTCCTCGATACCGAGTAAAGTGGCATCTGCGCAGAACGAAGCCTGGGTCACCGACATGGAAGCGTCGACGAAAATTAATTGAGATCGCCCGAAATCCAATTTCGGCGTTTTCGGTATCGAAAACGCAATATTGCGTTAAAACAAAAAAACCTTTGGTACCATTGACATTTGCTCCGAAACGCTCGAGTAGAACAAATAATTAATCTTTGATTCACGCGCGCCAATTATCCGTCCGTTTCGATCGAGTAACCCGTCTAACGAGGGGGCACGTTTCATTCAAAGTGTCAAATGTGCGTGTGGAGATAGAAACGAGGGGAACGATTCCGATCCTCGGACAGAGCCTGGAGTTGCGAAGTGTCAGAGCGAAGGGGGTGCGTCGAGAAAGAGAGAGAGAGAGAGAAAAAAACCTACGGGGGTTCAGAATATTCCAGAAGCACGGGTTGGCGCCGGCGCCGGGTCGCTTGCAGACCTGGTTGCCCTCGTTGACGTTCTTAGCAGGGCACGCGTCCGAGTCCGCCATCCTTGCACGCACTTTTTCGGAGTCCTCGCGCGACGCGCACTTTTCCCTTCGCCGAGCACTGTTCGCCGAGCGTGTGTCCCGTCAGAACGGAATGTCCTCTCCTCTGCGTGCCTGGTGAACGCTCGCGGGAGTAATGGCGTACGCGCGCGCGCACGCCGAATGACGCACTTCGACGACGACGACGACGGCGATAACAGTGGTAACGGACAGATAAGGGTACCGAGAAGGTTTGCCCTTCTCGAGAACGAGAGCGGATTCGCGCGAGAACGTGAGTTCGATGCTGGTTTACACGTCTGTCAGTCTATCTCGGGACTGTAGAGAGAGAGTGAGAGACCTGCGGAGAACGCAGCGTAGCTTCGTACACAGCGAGATGAGGACTGAGGCTTGTTATCGACCCACTGGAGGTCTCTCGTGCCACCTCCCCGCCGAGAACCCTCCCCCTCCTACCCTCTAGGCTCATCGCCATATTGCTCGGAACCTCGTACCTAGAAGACTACATGAGGTAGCCTTTGTAGCGGCTACTAAAGACCGACTCTCCCGGAGAACGTATTTAATGGTACCTGAAGAAAGATTTTTTTCTACGGACAAAATCTGGTAGATTTTTTTCAAATGATCAAATCATTCAAATCATAGGTTTTACGATAAAAATATCGATAAAAAAAAAGGAGTTTTTTCACTTTTTTTGGGGCTCATTTTTAATATAATATTTGTCATATATGCTATATATCCGATGCTATATTTTATAGAATGTCTTAATTATCTTCGAGCATTTCTAATATGAAATGGTCCCCCCAGTCACCCAATGATTCATCTCCTCATAGTCTTTGTAAGTAGTATAAACATATTAAGACGTCAGACACTGTCAGATACGTCAAAGAAAAATTATTTTAATCATTTGTACAAATGTCTCGTTTAGGCTCGCTTGAAAGAATTTTGACATATTTCGCAATAAAAAAAATTAAAGATTATACACAATAGAGGAAAGAATTTTTGTGTACAAATTTTG